CTCCCAAGATTAATTTTTCTCTGTGAGGAAGAACCCTGTATAATAGACCAGAGATAGTACTGAAGTAGAATGCTCAAATACTAACATTACAGACTAACCCTATACGATGTCATCTACTAGTGACAGAAAACCCCAAAGAATAGTTCTGATAGCCCTTGCTCGATGCATAGTTATTTGATTCTATGTATTCTAGAAAAATTCTATTATCTATTCTAGAAAAAAGATACTATCTTCCCCCATACACAAATACATCCTAATATTATAACAGGTCAAGAGGAAAATACAGAATTTGGTTAATTTCATTCATCTGATTCAGATCAGATGGGAAGGAAAATGAAAGCATTACAAGAGTATTACCTGGATCTTCACAGTACAGCCTGTTCTTTTTCACCTCTTTTTTGTAGCTGTTGAGCAATTACCCTTAAGGAAACTTGTTTTATTTCCTTAAGGTAACCTGTGGGATGTATTTCTTGGGAGCAGCCATTCTGCTCCAGAGCAAGCAGTCTCCTTTTTCTCTTGATTCTCCTTCCAGGCTATCAGCCATGCTTCATCTTGCCCGTGTAAACCACAAAGTGCTAAAGCATTTCTACAGGCGTATGAAATAAAACTGATACTGCTTTTATGGCCCACAATTATTTCACATTTCTTTGTGATGAAACAAGCACAATGTTAGCTGAAAAAACCACACATATACAGGCAAACACACATGAAATGTGAGATTCAGTTTAAGACACCTAAATACAGATGTGATAAGTATTTAGCCTTAAAGTCGATGGATACCTGATCAATACATGCAATAAAGCTTACAGAGCAGTTCAACTTGCTCTACACAATATTGGCCAATTGGGTCATTCTCCAGCCTCCATTGACTTTAATGGCAAGCAGACAGCAAGCATTCAGATGTCTAAATTTAAGTATCTTAATCTGAGATTTAGTCTTGTCCAAGGACACAAAACGCAGTAAGTTCAAAAGTTATAAATCAAATGTTAATACTCTCTGTTACATCCTTATGGCTATTAATTCACCTGAATCCTTTTTTAGATATAAATTTTTAACTTGATGCAGTCTTACAGAAAATTACAAAACTTCACAGGAATTAAAGGAGCAATATGCACTAATTCTTTGTAAATTGTAAATCTGAATTTTTCTGCTCAACTTGCATGTGCAAACTCAGTCTATGCTTTAGGGAAGGTACTTATAGATAAAGTTCTTCACTTGACACTTAAAGTGCTTTGAAGCATGCAGGTTAAGACAGCTAAGATAGGTAGGTATATGTTATCAGAATTTTGATTTGAGATTGTAAGGCAAGAAATGATGTGCCAATGTTTGCTTGAATAGAACCACAGTCCTTCTCCTGCCTCCCCAGGAATCTTCCCTAAAATGTCCTGTGTACCTCTTTCCTAAAATTATAAGATTTGTACAGCTTCCTGTTAGCAAAGATGTATGCACAACATGTGGTCTTTTTATGTTTATGGCTCTTAGAAATCATTTATTCACATGCAGGTGAATTTAAGTAAACAACACAGGGTACCCATTGCTCTTTTAATAGGCAATATATCCCTTAGCACTGGAAGTGGAATTTTAAACTGCAAGAATGGCAGCAAGGAACATTACAGTTTATTTTTATTGGGGACTGCATTTTCCTAACAGATGGAGAACTCGGGGTTAGACAAGAGTTCAAGCAGCTTCTAAGTCAAGACTTGGACCAGGCTTCCCACATGATTTACAAAAATCAGTGAACATACTGGCACCTCATTTCCACCACTCTAAAGTAGAAATAATACTTCCCATTGATATTCTGAGCTGTTGTGTTTGGGTTATACAAGTCTGAGACAAAAGTTAATCTGTGTGTACACAGAACTGAGCAAATCAAGTCTTGATGACAAGTAGTAATCAAAATGCTACTTGATAATATTTACATTAGATTTAACAAGAGGACAGTGCTACAGGGAGGGATATATTCTGTTGTAGTGATGAATGTCCACTGGTGATGTATGCATTACTACATTTTAAAGACATGCTGAACTGAGAAGGAAAATGTTTAGTTCACAAAAGCACAATGAATTATAGCAAGAAGAAACCAGACTTTAAATAGTCCTAACTTTTAGGGGAAAAAGCATCTTATCATGAATACAACACTGTAATTCCTTTTTTTTTTTCCTATTTGAAATATTTTACT